GGTATGACCAGAGTTCCCGCCTTCCTGTTCCCCTTCTTGCTAGACACCTGAAGCCAAAGACAGGCCAGGCGGGACATCAGCCCATCGCGGGCCAGTCTCCCCCGAAGGCTCAGCCACGTGGCGGGGTCAGAGTGGGGTGAAGACATAGCGCCGGCCCTGTGACGTGTCTAAGCCAAGAGAGGGTGACTCCCGACAGCTGAGGCCAGGGAACCCACGCTGTAGTGTGGGTCACGTACCTAGCATGTGACCCCTCTCCCAGCTCAGTGGCAGTGCCCAGGTGGGCAGGAACAGAGAGGGAATCAAGGCTGAGTGCGCCCACCACCCTCGGAGGCTCCGCTGCTGCTGGGGCTGGGTGTGGCCCCCTCCTCAGGGCCCCCTCAGTCCCTCCAGCAGCAGCTGCTCCACCATGCTTATTTCTCTGTTTTCTGAGTGACCTGTTCGGACCTGGGAACAGGTAAGTGGATGACCGGACCTGTTTCTAGAGCTGAGTCCACATTTAATGTTGAAACATCATCTGGCCAGAAGGGCCATTACGAGGCCACCCCTCCATTCTCCCCAACCCCCCACCTCTGTCCCCAGTCTCAGTCGTCCCTGACTGGGGAGTAGCTCGCCACCGCCAAAGACCACTGCACCCCGGGAGGGATAGTCTCAGCCTTCCTAAAACAACCGTATGTTTCAAAACCCCCTCCCTCAAGATGATTCCCCCCTGGCTGCAGTGTCCCCTTCCCCTCTTGGCTGCAATTCGCATCATTTTTCTCTTGTTCTGTCCTCAGTGGAGATGGGAACACAAAAGCTATCCTATTCCACATCATTTTTCCACCTTTGGGATTTGTTGTTGTTGATGATGGTGGCCGCGTTTAACATGTATTAAGCCCCCACAGGGTGTTAGCTGCTGCCTTAATTTTCATATATATATATATATATATATATATATATATATATAAATATATATATATACAATGTTCCACATCATTTTTCCACCTTTGGGATTTGTTGTTGTTGATGATGGTGGCCGCGTTTAACATGTATTAAGCCCCCACAGGGTGTTAGCTGCTGCNATATATATATATATATATATATATATATATATTTAAATCAAGAAGAAGCCACAATGTCACCCCTCATTTTCTGCATGGACGTTGTGTTGAGGGGTTTGGGCTGTAACGTCTAGAACCCGTACCATGAGCGCTTAAATTGGAGTCCGAGCTGGAGTCATGAATAGCACATAACGAGGTGGCTCAGCAGCACCCACACAACCGCCCTGGGGTGCAGGGAGTTCCCAGCATGGGCTGGAGAGCTTGGCCTCACAGCAGCACAGCTGAAAGACTGAGGTTTTAGAAGTGGGGGGCGGGGGAGTGTTACCAGCATCTAGTGGGTAGAGGCCAGCAATGGTGCCCAGCGTCCTACCACGTGCAGGCCAGCCTCTTCCAACAAAACATCAGTAGTGACAAACCCCACGGGAGAAGAATGGAGGGGCCAGCTCAGCGTTAGAGCTTATTACCAAGTGTGTCCTCAAGACTCCGCCTTGCCCTGCGGCGGGCTGGCTCTCCAACACCAGGTTCCCGGTTTGTTCCCTTTCTCTTTGTACCCGAGTGAATGGCAGTGGCTGTGAACAGAGGCAGTGGCTGACTGAGAATGTTCCTGTCACGTTGGATTTTGTCATAATTACTTCCCTAATTTGCACTTGTGGTGGCATACCTGGAGCACGAGCTCCCGTCGGCAGTTTTCCTCTGCTCCTTTTCTACCCAGCGGGTTCTTCCTGCCATCTGTTGATCGTCAGCGTCTGCCTTAATCCCTTTATGTGTGTCCTTTCCCGCGTGTGCAATTTGTCTCAGATCCTCATTAGTTTAGCTCTCAGGTGTTTTTCCGCCTTCAGACACGGTAGCAATTACATTCGCTCCGCCATCACCTCGTCTTCCTCTTCCCCTCTCTAAATCATGGGAAACGCTGGCCGCCTCCCTAAGCAACCTGTGCTTTGGGGGCAGGGGTTGTGGTTGTGAGCCGTGCTGCGGGCAGCAGGGGCGCAGGAAGGACCTGCTCGTTTGTAACCCATCATAGAAGGTTCCCCGCCGTTGGCATGGCCAAGGCACAGGACCGGGTAGAGAGACAGTGTGTTCACCTTGTCCAGATCACGCCAGGAAGCAGACTCAGATGCCAGCTCTAACTGCCTGCACCTGGCAGAAAGCCAGAGCCCAGGTCAGCAAACTGGGGTGCAGGGAGCGGGGGACTGAGGTTCCAGGCCTGACTGCCCCCACGCTGTGTCTCTTTGGGCAGAGGCTGTCTCCCTCCTCCCCAACCTCCCAGAGCTGCTGAGAGCATTGCTGGAAGTCAAGTGCTGGGGCTGCGTGCTAAATAAATAGGAAGGGTTAGTTGGCTAATTACTGTAGGTCCTATCGCTCTGGGCTGCTCTAACATTTACATTAAGATGACTAATTAGAGCAAAATCTTAACAAAGGAGCCAACCAGCTGTTGTTTATGGTTTAGGAAAGCAAATTGTTTCAAAGGGAGCGATTTGTCTTTCTCGTGTCGGGAAAGCCCCCTTAGGCCCTCCCTAGCTCTCCACACCTCTTCCCCGTCTGGAGACCCACAGTGGAGTGGGTCGCGGTCTCGGCAGTGTTGGTTCAAGCAAGCTTGAGAACAAAAGGTTTGTAAACACTGGACTGACTCCCAAATGTAGCAGGTGGCCAGATGGAGACACCTCAGATGTCCTCTTAACTTTTATATCCTCAGTACCGTGGGCCTGGGACGCTTCTGAGATCCCGGGGCTGCCTCCTTCTCGATGGGAAGGCTCTCTGAAACCCTGAGACCTCACTCGCAGCCCATCCTGAAATTCAGCCCTCACCAACATCTGGCACCTCACCTGGGACGCTTTTCTTGCCTGCCCCTTTCTGAAGCTTGTCAGCTCCATCAGGCAAACCTAAAAATGTTGAACATGTATCCGGACCCCTCCCTGGAGTTGTGACTTCCACTTTTGGAGGACATTTCTGGAAGGGAAGGAGAAGAACTACAAGTAAAGGATGAGGGGGAGCGTGGCCCTCAGAATCAGAGCCCATCTGGGCTCGCAGCCCAGTTTTCCTTCACCTTTCCTCTCTGGTCCTTTAGTTCACGTATAAGGCTTTTATCCCAGGGTCTGGCTTAAAAAGGGCCTCCAGCCCCCCATTTCTCAAGAAGAAAACACGGAGAGACTGAGATCTTAAATATAAGGCCCAGTTTGGAACCTGGCGTCGTCTTAGAGGAAAGACTTGATGCATGAAGTGTCGGCCTTTATTAAGAACTGACATCAAGAGCCTTAAAGATAAATAACAATAAATAAAAATTTTAAACCTCGCTTTTGAAGAGTCTGGTTGCTCCCGACAGTGTTGACTCAGCCGGCCACTTTTGCCAAGAGCCCTTGGAGGGAGTATCACGGGGGCTTCTGTGCAGCCCCCTGGGACATGTGTCATGCATGCTGGGAGGTTGGGCCCAGGAACCTCGATGCTGCTGTCTAGTTTTGGAAAGACCCCCAAACCCCTGGCTTCTGAGTTTGGCAGTAGCCCAGGCATCGTGCCAGGTGATCTCCGGGGTTTTCTTTACCTCCGGAGTCCTAGGACTCTGTATCCCATGGTTGGTCATTGTCAGAAACAGGAAGATATTTGATGGGGGACCAGAATCCCAACTTCTCAACCAGCAGCCTCCAGTGGCCACAGTCACCCCAGGTGGTCCCCACAGCAGACTGAAGCCCAAGGGGAACAGTGTATGCCTTAGCAGGGTCTTCAGGTGAACCAGACTGGGTCACAGCTGGGCTCATTCACCGTAACACAGGACAAACCTAAGTGCTCCTCTTGTCCCCAGGTGCCTTCTGGAGTCATTACTACAATCCCTGTGTCCTTGGCCCACTCTAAACAGGACACAAGGAGTAAAAGAGGCAATTCAAAGAGACAGTGAATCCCGGAAGAAGGCCCTTCTGCTCAGTAGAGTTGACCCTCTTCCTTCTTCGGTAACAGCAGTTCCTCCTGACCCCCAAAACCCGTGGTCTTGATTCTCACCAATATTGGTAATTCTATTTCCTATTTGGATGGAGGCTGAACTCCCCCATAGATGTCAGGAGGTGTCTTCACATTATTCCTCTACCCCGTTGGCCTCAGGCCACAGCGGCAATTCCTTTTTTATTTTTCATAGCCTTCACCTCTCCATCAGACGCTTGTAAAGTAGCATTACCCTCCCATATTGGATCATAGGGTGCTCATGAACTTGATAAGTTTGCGAGTCCCACTGGAAAGGACTTGGAGAAGCACCTTGTCCCAACCCCAAGCTTCAAGCTGGACTGTAGCACGATCTCAGAGTAGACTGTCACAGCCTCTGCCATCTGAGGATGGCTCAGCAAACGTCTGCAATAACATCATCGGGCCACCATACCAATCTTGGGTGTCTTGTTCTATGAGCTAATAAAACCCTATGTGTTTAAATCAAGGGTCATGAAACTCTTTCTGTAAAGGGCCAGATAGTTAATATGCGGTTGTTGGCAAAGTCATGACGTAGTTGTAGTTTTTCTATGTTTTCGTTGCAAAACTGAGTCATGACTTTTCCGACAACCCAATATTTTAGGTTTTGGGGCCATATGGTCTCTGACACAACTACCCATCTCTGCTGATGTAGCATAAAAACCCAGCCATTGACAGTTCGTCAACAAATGAGCATGACTGTGTGCCAATAAAACTTTATTTATGCACACTAAAATTATATAAATTTTTATGTCATGAAATAGTACTCTTTCTTTGATTTTTTAAAAAACTGTTTTAAAATATAACAAATTGTTCATAGCTTGAAGGCCATACAAAAAGAAGGTTTGGGCTGGATTTGGCTCTCTGAGGCCATCATCTGCTGACCCCTGGTTTTGGTGATTTTGTGTGTGGTTTCGTTGTTGCCGGCAGCCTAATGCAATCTCACCCAACACAGTGATGATGATGAACTTTGTTGGAAAATGATTTCTAACGGCTCATGCTTTCTTGTGTGTGTTTCAGAGGGTCTTGCTGTTGGAGTTGGATTTGGGGCGATAGAAAAGACGGCGTCGGCTACCTTTGAGAGTGCCAGGTAAGCCAGCACCCAGCGCCCTAGGACAGGGCACTGTGCCCAGCTGTGCTCCGGAAGCGCTTGTTACCTGAACCAGCACCCCAAGCCACACAGGGCCGAGACTGGTGGCGGTGGGGAGGAGGTCAGGTGAAGCGCATACTTGCGAGAGGTCTTCCATCGAAGCAGGTTTATACCAGGTTTTTCCAAATGTGCTCTCGTGAATGGGCAACCACTTTGAAATCACAACATGGATGGCATCACTTGCTGTCCTCCAAAACCTTTAAGTGTGTAAAGACTAAAGACGAAACACATAACAAAGGCAGCAACTGGCGCTCCCAACTGCTCCTGCCTTTCCCTGTCCTGACACTGGTCTCCCCTGGTTGCGTCCCTTTGTGTCTGCTCCTTCACCGGTTCTTCTGTGGGCTGCTCGTCGTATGGCCCTTCCTGAAATGTTGATGTTGCCCAAAGGTCCATCTCCAGGGCATCCCTGCTTCCACTTGCTGTGCTCTCCTTGGGGAACCATCTCCAGAACCATCACTTTATTGCCCATCTATCTCCTGGTGGTGCCCATGTTGACCTTCAGTCTAGACTTGACTCCTGAACTGACTCCTTTGCACCTGGCTACCTTCCAGACATCTCCACTTAGATGGTTCACAGGCCCACGCCCAGCATTTCCAAAGTTGAGCTTACTGTCTCCATCCGCTGTCAGGCAGTGCCTGACCTCACCCTAGGGTTCCCCATCACCACCTTGCACCCAGTTGGTCAAGCCCAACTCGCCGTCATCCTCAACTCATTTCCCCTTGTCTTCCATAGACAATCACAGGCCGCGTGCATTCTCCCTCTCCTCTCCCTCCCTTGAATTAAACAGGGCCTAGATGAGGCTACCACCTTGGGATCACAAAGGGGGCTTATCCTTTAGGCATCATGGAGATGAGTTCTACCTGGTCTACCTGTGCCCACAAAGCCATGAATAGGACAGCCTCCAGGTTGAAGGAGAACAGGGCGGAGCCTTCTGTCCAAGAGCAGCAAACTCAGGTTGCCTTCAGGGGACGAAGGGGTGACAAAAATGAGTAGAGACAGTCAGGCGGAGATGGCTGGGAATGGTGAGGACAGAGGTGAACTTCAAAGAGATAACACATGCATTGTCTAAAGGTACTTGAACTCACAAATTATTTTAAAAACATCTTTCGGGTCACAGAGATGGCCCCGGGGCCACTGGTTTCTGGCACCTGCATTTAGCTCATTAGCCACTGCCTTCTGACAAGTACAATCTCAAAATACATTTTCCCCGAAGGCAATGGCACCATCTCTTTTAATGACCAACACTGTGTCTATCAATTATGGTCGTCAGGAACTAATTTCTCACGGAACCCCTGTCCACCCTGCCCGGTTTCCCTAACTTGCGTGGGAGCTCCTTATGCCTCATTACCTCCTTCCATCCGTTCCCGCAGCTGATGTGGGGCCCTGCGTGGTCAGTACAGTCACTGAATTCGAATGCTGCACGTTCAGCGACATGTCTGTCCCTAATGTGTATGTGGGCGGGCGTGTTCTAGGCCGAAATTTTCCCTGATCTCATTCCGGCCTGTCAGACTCCTGGGGCCCTTCCTGGCGTCATCTTGAGCGTCACCTGTGAACATGATGCCTATTGTGAAAATCAAATGAGACAGGCGATGGAGAGGGGACTTCAGAATGTCAGAAATGTCACCAAAACCGAGGGTTGATGATGATTCCTCAAGCCCTGCAGACGGCTTTTCCAGCACCAGACATGGAATGGGACAGTTGGGCTTTGTCCCTTGGCACCGCCATTTTAATCTTGGCTTCGTTTAGACCGTGAGACATTCAGTCAGGCAGTATCCAGGGGGCCGAGGAGCCCACAGAGGCTGACCCCCTAAGAAGCATTCACAGGCCAGGCCCCCCCAGAGCGTGGGAGAGCCACACACACTGCAGAAGGGCTGTCCAGCAAGTGACAGCGCTGCCTCAGGCATTGTGCTCATAGGCCGGGCTTCGTCTCTGGTGGCAGGCACATCTCCTGTGACATCCTGATGTCAACTCCGATTTCCCTCTGTTCTGTCACCTGCACTTTCTGCCAATCTTTGTAAATATTTATATGAAGAAAAGAGAGCAATAGCCTCTCTGACCCAGCTCCTCCCTTCCCTTGTACCAAGCAGATTGTCTCTGAGTTACGTAAACCCTCCACGGGACCCTTGAACGGGGGTGGGGGTGGGGG